ACTAAATATATACACTCTTTATGTTCACTCAGTTTTTTCCTGATTTTCTGTACTTACTGGAACACTGTGTTAGTCACTGTACTGTGTCAGACTACGTTCTCAGTGAAATATGTTTCATAGCTGGGAGACGCTCACATTTCTTTGGTCCATATGCCGTAGGAAAAAATGCCAATGGATAGCAGCTTCAGCAGAGGTCAAAATACATGCAGTATTCTCGAAACGGTTGTCAAGTTGACATCGTTCAATGCAGTATTTGCATACATAACGTTTTCTATCACTTTTCGAGTATTTAATGTTGCGTGACATAAGATTAGCTTGCGTGATTCTCAATTAGTCCAAAAATAGATCTCGAGTTCGTCAATTATAGAATTATGTCTTTCATACAGCATGAAAAATACATACTTCTCTTTTTATAATATCATTTTTGTCAATTTGTATCAATATAGTAAACCGTTATGTTGATTTTCGAGAGTTTTTGATAAGTTCAAAAGCTGTAGGATAAACAGAATTACTTACTCAGTGACAAGCATTAATTACAGAGTTCTTATGGCTGAAAACTCCAAATGTTTGTTGTGGTGTTTATAAGTTAAGACTGAAATAAACAACATTTTTCTTCGTAAAACGCCAACAAAGTTGTTTGCTTGAGAGGTAAATACAAAAAAATCAAGTAGGTAATTATCCCATTTTAAAAGTAAAGAGTTTTAGCAAGCAGAAGGGAAATGAGCTGTAACTGAAACCTCGTGAGATTTTTATGAGAGGGACCACTGCCTACTGGCGATATCAGAGTTAGGGAACTGAATGTGACCTACCTTGCTGTGTGTTCCCCAGTTTAAAGTCTTGACTTGAACAACGGTACAGGTTACAGTATCATTTGGACCCTTGACGAACCTTTCTACACATCATATCTGCTCAAAAATCGTCAGGTTTTGGGATTCGKTGATTTTTCAAAACAATCTTCAATCGATTTTTATATGGTGCATGCTCCATCAAATCCCATTGAAAYTATTTCAAAAATGGTTCAGATTTAAGACTCTTTAACAGAAAACAAAAAAGCGTCTAGTCAATCTAGTGTTAATCTCTGAAGGTGCAGCGCTTGCGCACATTAGACATGCCTTGAATATCGTGATTTACCACCAAAAATTAGATGTGTAACAGTTGTAATTGGCTGATTTGAGTCATCCATTAGTCGTTATATTGTACTGTTATGTCAATCACAGCCTGGCCTATTATTAACCTTTTTTGCTTGACAGTCTGACTCGTTATCGCTTATTTTAGGGTGTGGTCCTGATACTTAGCTTTTTTACAGTGCTTAACCCTAACCCAGGCGTGCACTGCTGGCGTGCATCCGAGCCATTGCGCGGTCTTATGATCTCATTACGTCATATCAGTGTTGATGGGCTTCCTTTGTTTTTCTGACGTCATGAAACATTATGCAAATCTTCACGCATGTGTAGTAATGAGAAACAAACGCAAAATGGCGGACGAAGGCGATCGGGATATCATTCTTGCCAACTTTCAGGTTTGGATTTCTGTGTTGTCTTCCCACAAAAATGTCAGATTATTGATTGTATTTTGTGTCTGTTTATTAGAGCATCACAGGGATCGATAATCTAACTGAGTGTATYACATTATTAGAACATCATGACTGGGATTTGACGGTAGGTTGACGATTTGTGGCAAAATATATTTCTTGTTTGTTTGTATAAATAACTTTCTAATGCCTATGATAATTTCTCTGATGCCTGTAATTGTTCAAACTTCAGACCTGTGTTAATTCTGTGTTGGGCGCTGATGATGTGGACTCGCCGATTCGTCCGTAAGTAATATAAATCGAACTTAATTCCTCCAAAAATATAATTATTAGATTAGATGGCTTGTCTTAAGTTATTTGTCGATTTCAGTTACTTTCTTTCTCATGGAGTTTAGCGATATTTAAACTTAGGCTACATCTGTTTTTTTATAAATCTGTTTACGGTACTTTTAATAGGTATGGCTGTGTTGTAATATATGAAGTACATGTACTTTCATGTAATATTCAGATTGGATTTGTTTAAATATGCAAATTAGAGCATTACAATGCAGGTATTTAAACGGCTAATTTATTCAATTCTGGTTGTAATTCAGAGAATTTTTGTTTTGATTGCTTGTGTTTACAATTTCACATTGTAGTACACAGAAGAAATTTTGTCAAAACCATAGATTTAATTACTTCTTGATATGTAAACTAATTGTATTAATATTTTGCATGCACAAAAAGACTAATAAAATTATAGTTTTAAAGAATTATTCCATAGTTCACTGCAAATCTAGTTTCCTGCATGTCAAATAAAATATAAAGATAAAGTTATGTTTTCAGGTCAAGTCCTCCCCAAGAGGTTCAAGTTATTGGACAAACCATCCCTCTCCACCACCCACCAAGAAGAGTGAAGTTTTTAATTGAATGGAAAGAGAAAACATTAACAGTCATCCTAGGTGACCATGAAACTGTTGGTAAGATATATTTCAGAGTTATCTTTATGCCTATTGATGCATCTGTATCCTTGATCATGCAATGGTGCTATACTTCTCTGCATTCATCCATTAATCTTTTCATTAATCCATTCATTTTGTTTCATTCATCCATTCATTACTTCATTCCTTCACATTTTCCCATTCATTTGAATGTGTCCTATATCTATCAGTAGTTTCTTTCATCTACTTGTTCATCCATCCATCTATTCATTCTTTTTCGCATCTTGTATTCCAATTTCAAAATCTAATTGAATGAACTCAACAAGCATGCAGTCATTTAGATAATCCATTTCTTAATCAATCTGTCTTTTACTAAAAGGAACCATCAAAAGAATGATTGAAATGCAAAATGGCGTTCCTCCAGACCATCAAAGTCTGATGGGATGGGCCCACAACCAGACATTAAATGACGAGGTATATATGGTTTTATGATGGTTATAATGATGAGGTATATAAGCATTATTATATTACTCAGGAATAGGAGGCACACAGGTGGCAAATGGGCAGCTCTCATTATTAATTTCACGGAGAACTTATTAATTGTCCTTCTACCATTCAATGGAGTATTTGCTTATAATATTTGTAGACTGTACTAAAAGATCTCAACCTACGAGAAGAAACTGCATTAGTTCTTTTGACACCAACAATAACAGAAACACCAAAACAAAGTACACCATGTGCCGTCAGCTCGGCATTGAACGGAGAAGCAGGGTATGATTTACTTTAATTGCAGCATTATTACAACAATGGCAAAGGTGGCATATACTGTATGTCATGCTATGACCTCAACCCCTTCATTTCAATGATTTTCAGCTTACAATAAGTTTGCTTGTAAATGTCTATAACTGTGATTGTGTTGGTTAAAAACTATGAAAAGTGAACTATGGCATTTTCATCTACTCATCTGTGTATTTTATTGATATTTTCACAGATCAAGTGGTATTGGAAGTCCAAATGTAATTGAGAAAGTAATGTTAAACATAAAATATCACACCGATGAATATAACCTGCCGTATCCAATGACAAAAACAGTAGGAGAGGTAACTTACTAGGGTTAATAATTCATAGATGAAAAAAAATYATTATAAATAAATGAACATTGTCATTGGAGTTAAATTGCATTAGAAGTGGAGGATGGATTGAAGAATGGCCTTAGTTAAACAATTGATTGTGTGGCTCTTGATGATAAACCACAGCAATCATTTCTTTATTGCTTTTGTAATATAGAAAGTTAGAAGGACATGTATTTATCCAACAAGAAATTGCTCTTATTGGACATCCTAGATTGAACATCCTAGATTGAAAACAAATCTATAATATGATATTAATTTGGAGTGTGAATGTTATGACAGGTAAAGTCTGACGTTCATTCTTTGACAAGTATACCATGCCGAAATCAGCATTGGTCTGGTTGGCCAGATGGTACGACAGATAGTGTGAGTATGATCAATATGAGTGATTATTGGTTGATTGATTAGGCCTGGTTTTCCCTAATGAAATAAGCAAATAAAGAGAATGGGAATGAAATGGTAAAGATAGCAGAAAAWAAGGTTTTCATTTGTCATTTTGCTTCTGTCACCACTAACTATTTCTTCCCCATTTTCTGGTTTTCACATGAGCATAAAGAATTCCTTTTCCTTCTTCATTGTACTTCACTAGAGAAATCCAGGCTTTATAATGAAGTTTCAACATGTAATTGTACAGTACTTTGTGCACACAAAGGAACAATGACTTTAAACTAATGATAAATGCAATTTCAACCAAGTGTTTTGTTGTTTTAGTTAACATTACATGAAGCAAAGCTGTCTTTTCCGGTTCATGTTCTTACCGTTACCAAACGTGAAAACAATGAGGTAAAGAACTTTATCCTGTAGACTTGTACATTCAAGTACTCTCAGAATATTTGGTATTATAATAATATTAATATAAGCATGTATGTTGACAATAGCACAATAAAAACAATCTCTCTGGATCCTTTTTTGACTTCTTATTTTCAAACATTTGTTGCTAGGGATCTTCAAAATCTACAAGTATAGATGTCGACATGGAGCAGGATGATGGCAGTGATGAGGATGAATCTAATCTTCATATTATAGATGAAGATGAGGATGATGATGATATGTTTGCTGATGTTCCTTGTAGACGGCAATTTACAGAACTATGTAAGGAAATATGAAGAAATCAAAATTATTTCTAGCAGGCATTTCTTCAGTCATTCATCRCTATAACGACCAATAATTACAGAACTTCTCATCCACAATTTTCAATTGAATTATTTTTTTCTCAGTACCACAAGATAGTATTGATTCYTCAGAAAACCTCATAAAATTTGCAGCCAATTTTGAAGGAAGGTCAGTACTCTACCATTGTTGTTTTGTGGTAGAAATGTATTATTTRATAGAATTTGTATTTGTTTGTTGCTCATGCTGAATGTTAACATCATTTAGCAGTCATATCATATATACATTTTTAAAATTTTTGAGTTGTTTCGGAGAACAGAGACAACYGCAGTAGTTTTAYATTTCTTAAGTAAATGCATTGTTCAGAGAATGCTAGTGTTTACCAAGATGGCTCCCTCTCTCTCAGATATGGAGATTCTCATCCCCATTTTTACATGGGGCCATTATCAGAAGCTATCAAAGAAGCWAATGGAAAGTCAGCTAAGCATGTGAGTAAACACTTAAAGTCATTCCATGGTGATTTATAGGTCTCATATCTGATTGATATTGATCTCTTTAGCGGCGACCTCTTCTTGTATATCTTCATCATGATGGGAGTATATTAGCCAATGTGTTTTGTGGGTAAGTATTATTGAATGAGAATAGCAATAAACAATACATATATGTAAGATACTAAAATAACAGGATAATAAATGAAGATTTACTAACTTGAATTTAACAATTGATGAATGAAAGTAATGATAAAATTAAAGTAACGAAATAACAGGATAGCTAATAAAGCCTTATTAACTCGACTATCAAGGATTATTATTTTTGTATTTTATGTTTTCAGACAATTGTTGTGTTCAGAAACCATCACAAACTATATTGACAGTAACTTTGTTATATGGGCCTGGGATGTTAGCCAYGATACCAATAGGGCAAGGTAAGTCACTCAAATACATCTTTCTGAGATATGCACAAAGATTGTGATTCTGTTATATAGTAAAACATTGTTGTAGATGACTTTTTAGMTTTGCATTGTTGAGATTCCTGTAAAACCSATGTCTATTGTTGCCAAATTTYTTCTCCAACAACAGCTACTGGCGGTGGGTTCTGGGTTCAGAGAAATTTGCCGGCACTGTCTTTCTCATAGCTCACATGTACTAATCCTGTAATAATTGTGCCATCTTATGACTGTTTAGGCTTCTTGATATGATAACTACACATTTCGGCAGTATTGCTGCTAGTACTGTACGTGGTTTTCAGACAGAAAAGTATCCTCTCATCTTAGCGGTTATGAAGAATAGATCAGCTTTAGAAGTATGCTCCGTATTACAAGGTATTTAAATATCTACATCACAKCTCTGATTTATCCAGGAAACAGGATTGTTATTCTAGATCAAACCTTGTGTTCATTAAAATCATTCTTATTCAGGTCAGTTGTCACTGGATGAGTTAATGACTGGTCTCATGAGCGCTTATGAAACATTTCAACAAGCAATGATACAAGAAATTAAAGATGAGGTAATAAAAGAATAATTCTTACTATCTCACTTCAAAACATCCCATTTGTACATGTCTTTCTTAGATTTGAACCCCCCAAAAGATCAGAAAAAATTGAAAAAAATGATTTTTTTTTCCTTCTACCTTTCAATTTAAAACCCAAGAGCCCCAAAAGTCTACCTTTGTTATCCCTTCCAATGCTATCTTTTTTATACAAAAGTTGTTTTTCATTCTTTCCCTCCTCTTCATTAACCTAAGCAAGTAATGTTATCTGACAACACAGGAAGAACGAGAGCTCAGAGAGATGATGAGAAAGGAACAGGACATTGCGTACGAGGAATCACTAAAAGAAGACAGAAGAAAAGAGGAAGAAAAACGAAAGAAACAAGAGGAAGAAATAATTGCTAAGAAACTTCAAGAAGAGCAGGCATTGCACGAAGCCCAGCTAAAAGAGGTACGCATTGTTTCTTGTCAATCTTTTCTCTTTCTCTCTCTTTGTAATGGTTAAAATAAACCTCTTTCCAGGCCCAACGGCTGTCTTTGGTTGATCAGCTGGCAGATGAACCTGGGCCCGACTGTACTGAGCCTATTTCAGATCTAAGATTTTGGCTTCCTAATGGACAAAGACTTCAAAGACGCTTTTTAGCTTCCAGTCACTTACAGGTACAGTATGAATCAAAATTATACAAGAAAGAAAGATAAAAACGGAGAAATATGTAAAGACAAAGGGTGCTAGAAAGGGAGGGATAAAAAGGCATAATTATTGCTATTGAAATTTAGATATTATTTTCAATAAAAGAAGAACGTATAAGCAAAAAATGAACATAAATAAGTAAATTTGATATGTTTTGTTATCTTAATCTTCAGAATGTCTTAACGTATGTTCAAACTCAAGGATTTCTTGAAAATGACTACAAAGTGGTCACTAACTTTCCCAGAAGAGACGTAAGTAAATGTAAAGACACAAAATCCTTAGATAAAACCAGAATTGCTTTAATCAGACATAATGAGGTACCTGAATGATATATGTGCGCTTTGATTATAGTCCTAATATGGATTATTTTCCTTCTCTAGCTGTATACATTAGATCGTACCAAAAGCCTACAAGCTCATGGAATTTACCCCCAAGAAAAGATAATTGTTGAAGAACGATAAAATTACTAATGACTTAACAAATATTTATGAATTTAGAAAAGAAAAAATAACACTTTGGACACTAAATTATAGTCCATTGACTCCAAATTAAACAAATAAATTTTAACCTCCCTCAGAAAGAGAAAATTACAATGGTAAGCACAAGAAGGCCTCAATTTTAAATTCTGAGGATGAAAAATGTAAGTAGTAAAGACTCATTAAAACTAGAAATGATGTAAATAGAATTGATGAAATACCTCAAGTCCTTGTTGTACTCTGGTTCTGTTCTATGGTGAGTACAGTTTTAAGTCAATAAGTCAGATATGTTCAAATGATAATATATTTTTGTCATTTAGAAAGGAAAATTAAAACAATTCATTTTAGAMAAGTGCWAAAKTGTATGTCAAAGGTAACAGYTCATCGAAACGTGACKTAGGTGTTTCTATGGGAATATCCTATGYAGCATMACGTCATGCATTCCCATGGTGACAACTAAGCAGCCAGGCATTTGTTCATCACCATGATGTCATGCGTATCCATGGTGATAACTAAGCTACAAGGCATTTTGTGTATGGATTTATATACAAAGCTTTGACCCGAGGCACTCGTKAGGGTTTACCTTAACAAGCATGCATGAATAMTCCAGTTTYGAATTCTCCGATRCTCTGTGTTWGCCTCATTTGTGTGCAAAATATTCCTTRTTGTGTGTATACTGTATAAACKTGTGAGATTTCAAATTAATTTTATTGTCTGTCTTTACAATTTCAATGCGTTTTCTCGTGCTGTCAATGAAACAAAAGAATACTTGGTTTTGATGCTAACACAGGGCAAACAWAAAAYTCGAAATTGCAGTGTTGTTTGTTTCTGTGTCGGTTCCTTAGCAACCATTCATCTAAATGTCACGGGTTTGGTTCCTGGCGTTGTTAATTAGAGGCACACCCATACAGCTCCACCCTCATTGATATCCAAGCATACCACTCCAGGGCTACAAATCTGATGAATCGTGTTCTGATTGGCACAGGTAGTGTGTGTGTAACGACCGTGCTCATGTCAGCGTTGCCTTGAAACTTCTGAAAAATATTATCACACGTAAAATACTGATTTCTGGTATATAGTTCAGATGCTAGCGCTAGTGATATGTTTTTTCTTCAAGGAAATTGAGAGAAGAAAACGTATTATTGTAAGACTTGTAAGAGGAGCCTTAATCTCCTTGCCAGACACCTAATATAAAAGGAAAGGCTGGGAAGTAGACTAAAGGAACCAAACAAAGTAGTGAAAACCTTTTCGAGAGAGAGTTGTCGACGAAGTTTAGATTTGTACTCAAACTCTACCTTCATTTCCCCGCCATAGTTGAACGTTGTCCACTGTACATCGTCATGGCTGTACGTCAAATAATACAATTTAACATATTGCAAACCCCCTGGTGTATATCGACCTTGTGTCGCTACTTTGCTAATGATGTGCGTCTTTTTCAAGTCGATTTGCAGATATTCACCAACAGCTGTCTTGGCTGCGCTCCAGCCTGCACCAGTGACAGTCAAGTGTAATCTTGCATTAAAAGGCTGAACTTCGCTCGAGGGGTACACAGATGAGGCGCTGATTTGTGAGTCTGCGATGCGTCCGTCTTGCATTCCTAAGGGTGCTGCACAATCTAAATTAATAGAAAACAAAATATAAAACAATCCTGCCAAAGAATATTAGCTCCTGTTTTCATTTGTATTGTGAAGTCTTCATGTTTTAAAAAGCCTCGTTTTCTTTGGTTTTGTAAGCGCTCACTTCATTAATATTTCAATTCATCTCACCTGACCGACATCGGTAGTTGACACCATCCTTGTCCATCAGACAAGTA